ACAATTCTGAGCATTGATGGGGGTGGTATTAGAGGAATTATTCCTGCCACTATCCTTGAATATCTTGAATCTCAACTTCAGGTAATTCACTTTTAAATAGCTTTGTTCCTATTTTTATTTTTCCCAAAAAAGGGAAAAAAAGACAAATATAACTCTTGAGCATTTTATTCAAACGCTCAAATTCCTAGGGAAGAGACTCATTTATTTATTTGCAGGGCCAGATTCATTTTTTTCTTCAAAATCTTGAATATTGGATAATTTAACCAAATTGTTAGTAGTTAGATTTCAACGCAACATTTTCGGTTACCCTAATACTACTTTATCTTTGTTAGAGAGCACATAAAATTATTTTTTTCCTGACCTTCATAATACTTTATCTTTGTTAGATGGCATAAACGTGAGATTCTTTAATAAATTAGTTCCATTGCATTTTTGTCGAAAAGATGGCAAATTTAATGTTTGGGTAATAGTCGTATCTCAAATAAAAAATTAAATTATTTATTTATTTAATATTTTCTTCACACGAATCACTGATACTGTAGTTGTTTTGTTAATGATCTAACATTTTTATTTTGTTTTTTAAACTAATCAGAGTCAAACACCAACGTATTCATATTAAACATATCTAATACCTAGTTGCCCAAATTTTAAATTGGAAGGGGTTGTAAAGAGTCCACAATAAAATGCATAATAAAACTGACTGGAAATGTGTTATTCGTTGCCAGGGGCTTGACGGCGAGGATGCTAGACTTGCAGATTACTTTGATGTAATTGCAGGAACGAGTACAGGAGGTCTAGTAACTGCCATGTTAACCGCTCCTAACAAAGATAACCTACCATTGTTTTCAGCTAAAGATATTAAACCCTTTTATCTCGAGCACTCCTCTAGAATTTTTCCGCAAAAGAAGTATAATTTATACTTAAGTAGTACAACAAACAGTTTCATTTTATATTAATCTTAGTGATTTTATGATCATATTTTTATTGATGATCACATGTATTTGTACTGATTTCGAATTGCAGAGGCTTATTGGGATTGTTCGAAAAACTATTGAAATCTATAGTCGGACCGAAGTACGATGGAGAGTACCTTCACAAAGTTATCAGAGAGAAACTAGGCGACACTCGACTGCATGAGACATTAACTAATGTTGTCATTCCAACATTTGACATTGAAAATTTGCAACCTATTGTTTTCTCCAAATATCAGGTCTACAATTCTTCTCATCATTCCTTTCGTCCAACAGTATTTGTCTGATTGTATTCTTAATTGTTTATGAAACTATGATATCCAGCTAACCAATCATTATATTGTAAGTATTTACTAAAGGCCTCTCAATCAATTCAAGGGCCTTAGACAAAATTCCTAATGTCTTTTCCAAAAAGAATAATAATAAATTAAAATAGAGCTAACAATTACACTAAACAATTGTGCCAATAATTGCTGACTTATCTGTGATTCAAATGGAATTGCTAACACTCATATAGTTGGATATCATCAATTCACATACACAGTGACTACCGAAGATAATGTCTTGTACGACGTCATCGGTAATCATCAATTACTTTTCGGTCTACGAAAAAGTTGTTGATATCAACGACAAAATCTTATTGTTTCTTTATTTTATTTACAAGGTACTACAAGAAAATTGATAATCTATATATCTTTTTATTTTTCATTTGTACTATTGAGTCATACAGGGAATGTAATGTAATTCAGTCCGTATATATGTGTATACAGGCCGTGAGGAATCCATCGTTGGACGTTCGACTCTCAGATATATGCATTGGCACATCTGCAGCTCCAACTTATCTTCCTGCATATTATTTCAAGAACCAAGGTTATGTACGAGAGTTCAACCTCGTAGACGGTGGTGTTGCTGCCAATAATCCGGTAAAAGACACACACATACAGAACAATGTCATTGAATTTTACATAATAAAATAACTGATATGAATATGTACATACT